AGCTATCAGGGGAATGTGGAGGAGAGGATGCTGAAAGAAAGACTTCTCTGCTGAGATGGAGGTGGGGGAGCAATAACTGTAAAAAGCCAGGTGTGGCCTCAAATACCTGTAACCTCAGTGCTGCAGGGATCTGAGCCAGGAGGATTGCTGGGATTGCTGGCCAACCAGACTAGCTGAAAAAATGGCAAGTTTCAAGTTCAGTGAGAGACCCTGTCTCAAAAGAACAGGGTAGAAAGTGATAAAGCCAGAAACCCAATGCGCTCCCTCTGGCTTCTATGCATATATGAATATGTACGAACAAACAACACATAGCATCAGAAATGAGTGAGACCATAGAACAGGTGACAAACCTCCAGATGGGGTCAGATGCGAACACAGGCCCCTGGATAACAGTCAAATTCTTCTTATTCACCCTCTAGAGTGCCTGGGAGCTGAGGGTAGACTGGCTCACAAGCTGTTTCGTGACCTGTTTGCCAACTATACAAGTGCCCTGAGACCAGTGGCTGACACAGACCAGACTCTAAATGTGACCCTGGAGGTGACGTTGTCTCAGATCATTGATATGGTAGGATGTGTGAATCGAGGGAAGATGGGCCATCTCCTAATTATCCTTTTCTTGTGTGTTAATAATGACAGTGACCATTAATTTCTGCATACCTGTTGATAGCCCAAGATTTTATGCACTGGTATTTACTGAATACCTTCTCTGTTCCCAAGCAGGAATTATCAGCGGGATTAACTGGAGATTGAAAAACCCACCAAGGGCACACAAGTTCAAGCCTGGGTGGGAACTGGGCTGTTTGAGCAAGCTGGGTTTGTGGGTAGTAACTGGAGAGCTCTGTGAGGGAGAATGCACGAAAAAGACAGTCACATGTCTGTCGTCTGCCCCTGCCAGGATGAACGGAATCAGGTGCTGACCTTGTATCTGTGGATCCGGCAGGAGTGGACAGATGCCTACCTACATTGGGACCCCAAAGCCTACGGTGACTTGGATGCAATCCGAATTCCCAGCAGTCTAGTGTGGCGACCAGACATCGTACTTTACAACAAGTACTGCCTGTCTGCCCCCTTTTTCTTTAAAGTTGCCCATTTGCCCTTGACATGCACTGAGTCCTCTCCCAACACCTAATAGAGTTGCTTAGACGTCTAGGAAACTTGCCCCTGGGGCCCCTCTAAGGAGCTCTTCACCACTCCATGTCACTTTCAGGCCAACTCAAGCTGGATGGCTGCAGAGAAGCTGCTCTGTGATCCAAGCCAGTTGTAGCTCTCAGAGAACTGTCTTGAGTCCATATGCTCCTCTATGGCAGCTCCACCCTCCCATGCTCTGGGGCCACTTGAGATCTCACCAGCCAACAGCCTAGTCCTTGGGGTACTCCTTTATGCCACCTTTAGGTGCTTTGCACTTCTCAGCCAACACACAGCATTGTGTATCTTTCTGGGTTCATCTAATGAGTTCTACAAATGATTCCCTAGGTCAGTGTGGCGATCCGGGTTTGCACAGGTCTTTTAAACTCTGCCCGCCCCCGCCCCGCCCCAAGCCTTCAAACTCTGCCTTTTCTAGACCTTCAGAGATTTAAATGAGCCTAATGAGGCTCACACCACCGTGCTGTCCTGACCACTAAAGCCCGACTAGTGGCAATAGATTCACCCTGTTCATGGGCCTGGGTGAATCCTGTCCTGCCTGTCCACAGGGCGGACACGCAGCCACCTGCCTCGGCCAGCACCAACGTGGTTGTGCGGCACGACGGCGCTGTGCGCTGGGACGCACCGGCCATCACTCGCAGCTCGTGCCGTGTGGACGTGTCTGCCTTCCCGTTTGATGCTCAGCGCTGTGGCCTGACCTTCGGCTCATGGACGCACGGCGGGCACCAGCTGGATGTGCGACCTCGGGGCACTTCCGCCAGTCTGGCCGACTTCGTGGAGAACGTTGAATGGCGCGTGCTGGGCATGCCAGCGCGCAGGCGCGTGCTCACCTACGGCTGCTGCTCTGAGCCCTACCCAGACGTGACCTTCACTCTGCTGCTGCGTCGCCGCGCAGCTGCCTACGTGTGCAACCTGCTGCTGCCCTGTGTGTTCATCTCCCTGCTGGCGCCACTGGCCTTCCACCTGCCTGCTGACTCTGGGGAGAAGGTGTCTCTGGGCGTCACCGTGCTCCTGGCGCTCACCGTCTTCCAGCTGATCCTGGCCGAAAGCATGCCACCTGCAGAGAGCGTGCCACTCATCGGTGAGCCTGAGAGCGTGGGAGAGTGGACACCAGGTCAGAAGAGTGACCACTGCAGGGGGTGAGAGAGGGTAGACGTGTCTGGGAGAACTCCCCTCACTGCTGGGGCCTTGATGGAGGAAGATCTGGTGTCCAGTGTCATAACAAGCAAACTGTAGTGAGTAATAGCTGTGTGCACAAGCATTCTCCTGTGCACGTGACATTCGTTCACTCACACAAGCAATACTATGAACCAAAGAAGAGCCACTAGCTTATTCCAGGTGTATAGACAGGACAGTTCAGGTTGCAACCGCAATCCGATTCCCAGTAGGGGGAAAAAATAAGTAGCAGATATCTTCAGAGCCCTAATTGGAATGAGAAGTGAGGAGAACTTAACTCTTATCTTATCCTTCCCCTCATCGGGTCTGAGGGCCTGATGCTGTCCTTCTTTCTGTTCACGATGAGGCAGTTGGGAAGCCCAACAGTCTTCATTTCTTGTTTGGGGTTCACAATGCTCTCTGTTCCACAGGAAAGTACTATATGGCCACTATGACCATGGTCACGTTCTCCACAGCGCTTACCATCCTCATCATGAATCTGCATTACTGTGGCCCTAATGCACATCCAGTGCCTGCCTGGGCTCGGGTCCTCCTGCTGGGACACCTAGCCAAAGGCTTGTGTGTACGGGAACGAGGGGAGCCCTGTGGCCAGTCGAAGCCACTAGAGTCAGTCCCCAGCCTCCAGCCTCTGCCAGGTCCCCCAGCGGGCCCTTGTCATGAGCCACGGTGTCTATGCCACCAGGAAGCCCTTCTGCATCACGTGGCTTCCATTGCCGGCACCTTCCGAAGCCACCGGGCTGCCCAGCGCCGCCATGAAGATTGGAAGCGCCTGGCTAGAGTGATGGACCGCTTTTTCCTAGGCATCTTCTTCTGCATGGCTCTAGTCATGAGCCTCCTGGTACTGGTGCAAGCCCTGTAAGGGCCAGGAACTGGATTTCAGGGAGCTGTGGTCACCTCAACACTAACAGGCAGGGATAGCAAAGCCCAGGTGGTTGTTGGTACTCAGACACACTAGCCAGTCTCTCCCCAAAGTGCTGCTAAGAGTCAGAGACACTTCAGGACCAGCACTTCTGACCTCACACCCCACAAACAGCCTTTGTGATCTACATGCCCTAATGGAGGGGGATCTAACGCCTGCCTCTCCACTAATTCCAACATGATTAAGGTCCAAGTACAGACTTGGAGGATAGGACTCAATGCCAGCTGAGCAAGGTGATAGACTCTTGTAATCCCAGCACATGGAGGCTGAGACAGGAGGATTACCTTAAGTTCTGTAGCCTGAGTTACAGAAATGTTTGTCTAAATATAAATAACCGCCCCAGTATCTACACTTGGAATCATAGCTATTAGCTGGGGGGGGAGGGGTCCAGGTTATTTTTGTTTGTTGAGCCTGAGTCCTATGTAGTCCTTGCTGGCCTGGAACTTGCTACGGAGTCCAGGCTGGCTTTGAACTCACAGAGATCTACATGCCTCTCCAAAGGCAGGTGCCACTATGCCTGACTAGGGTGTAGGTTACTAATTAAAGGGACAAAGCTACACATTTGCTTGTCACCCTTAGTAGTTGCTGTTACAGATTCCCGTCTTGCTTATCTCTAGGCTCTCCCAGAAGGGAATGCACTGTCTAGTTTCCAGAACAGAAGGCTGTGCAGGCATTTGACACAAAGCTTCAATCCATAATAAATGAGTGTTCCCAGCACCTCCCCCATACCTTGTCTTCTTCTTGGGGCCCATAACAAGAAGTTGGGGATTCAGTTGGTGTTTATAGGTAGGACTCTCAGGATTCACAGATCAATGCAAAAATTATATCTCTTTTAAAAAATCACATTTATTAGCCTGGTAGTACCACTCACACCTTTCTGACAGGCATTTATGACAGGCATTTATGACAGGCATTTATGACAGGCATTTATGTGACCCCAGCTTAGCCCATGGCTATGTGTGCTCCCCCATCATCATCCACAGTGAGTCGAAGTCTCCTGGCTCCAAGCTGAGTCTCTGCCTGACCTTGAGTCCTCTGCCTGTCCTCAAGTCCTCTGCTTGTCCTCAGTCCCATTCCTACAGCCCTGGGTGAGGTTCAGTCTCCAAATTCTCTTCTGTGCCTCCATCAATATATCTGACAATTGTCACAGAAGGCCCCAGAGTTCCCTGTAGATGGACTGATTCACCAGGATCCTGCTATACTTAAGGCGCCAGTTGACCAACATTCTTCAGTCAGGGCGGTCAACATTGGGTAGGTCACTTGGGACCTGGATTCTCTGGAAGGGCCCTCAGCAAAAGGAACAAGAGCAGCAGCAGCAGAAGAGACCAGGAGACAGAGAGGGAGCCCGGGGCTATGTGAGGAAAAAGAGAGATTTAGGAGCCGTGTGAGGATGTGAAGAGGAAGGACAGAGAGACTGGCAGAGTGAGCTGGAAAGACTCAAACTCAAAGTACAATGAGAGACAGAGGGGCTCAGTCACTCTAAACCCTGCCATCTGCCGACACAAGGGGACCCAACACTACCGTGTGTCCCCTGATCTCAGAGAGATCTGCTGATGCTGAATCTGGCTTCTCCATTCATGCCCTGGGCACATGACATCCTGGTGGGACTGTGGAGACAAAAACTCTTAACTTTCCCAATGTCCCAAATTATGCGCCATCTGAATGTAGAGGCCAAAGCTGGATACAGCAGTTTGCTTGCCCAGCATCCTAGCACTCAGGAGGCTAAGGCAAGACAATGGTCCATTTGAGGCTAGCCTGAACTGCACATGAGTTCTAGGACAACCTGGACTACATAGGAAATTCCCCTATCCTAAAACCAAAACAAAGGGTCTGGTTTGAAGTTGGAGACCCAGCTTCTGGTCACTATGCCACCTTGACTGTGTCTCTGGCCTCCCTTAACTACATGAAGATAGTATTCTAGGTTTTACCACTAGAGGGCTGTGTGACAGAGGTAGGAACTCTCATAGTGGGCAGTTCACAGTTCACTCTGCAGCCAGGCTATAGTCATGATTCCTCATTAGCTGTGTGCTGAAGGACAAGTTGCTACTTTCCGTCCTCTGTAGAAGTAGCTGATATTGGGCAAGATAGTGTAAGCCTTTAATCCCAGGACTCCAGAGGTAGAAGCAGATAGATCTCTGAGTTTGAAGCTAGCCTGGTCTACAGAGCCTGTTCCAGGACAGCCAGGGCAGCACAGAGAAACCTTGTCTGAAAAATAAACTAAGCCAATGCCATTGGACTGTGCTGAGGATTCACGGTGTAAATGCCTGGAACCCCAAGTATTATTTTGTCCAGGAAAGAAGAAAGAACAGAGGCTGAGCATCTTCCTGCCCACTGGTTACAGATCCTAGAGGGAGCAAGCATTGAGGACAGAGTAGGAAGTATGGCTGAGAGTTGGACAGGTGAGGAGGGCTGTTAACTCTTCTCTAGAAGTAGCCTATTCCCACCTAAATAAGTGGTGGCCCAGATAGGCCCTGGCACAGCAGATGTACAAGAGAAGACTCAGATGAAAGAGACATAGGTGTCCTTTGATCCAACTTTCTTATTACAAACTAGGAAACTGAGGCACAGGGAAAGAGTAGTTAGGCCAGACTAGAGTACAGTCAGACAGCATCCAAGGGTTGGCTTTGACCTTGGAAAGCAGGTCAAAGGGAGCCCTGAGGACGATAGCAGGGACACTGAGTTCTACAACTGAAGAAAAAGTTCCAGGGGAGAACTCTGCCGGGAACAGCTTCTGCTGTAGTCTCCTCAGAACAGCCTGAAGGCAGGGCTGACAGTGGCCCTCCTCTGAGAAGCAGAGATGCTGAAGAGACAGCTACACACATACACATCCTCAATGAAGGTTAGTAACTCCCACCGCTGTCTCACTGAGAGCAGTCTCTTCTTAGGCAAGGAGGTGGGTTTACAAGAATAAGAGAGCATTAGATCCTGCGGTGGTGGCACACGCGTGCCTTTAATCCCAGCACTGTGGAGGCAGAGGCAGGCGGATTTCTGAGTTCTAGGCCAGCCTGGTCTACAGAGTGAATTCCAGAGCAGCTAGGGCTACACTGAGAAACTCTGTTTCAAAAAAACAATCAATAAATCAATAAGAGGGCAATCTAGTGAGGGCCCAACCTCAGGACAGCCTGATCAAAATGTCTTCCTCTCTTACCTGAGCTATCCAGCCAGCAGGGCCCAGACCTGCACTTCTTTTCTGAAAGAAGAAAGAAGAATCAATGCTTCTGAAGAATCAGTAGCTCTCTGGTTGGAAAGGACCCCTCAGGGCTGATGAGCAAACCTTGATTCTCTGTAATTCTGCTGCCTTAGCAAGGATCTCCTTAGACCATATTCATTTAACCTGAGCCAAGGATAGAAGGGAGGCAGCCATGTAAGCTAGGTTCTCTTTCTGACCCACTCCTGGTCTCTGGCCTCTAACTGCCTACTCACCACGCTCCCAGCTCACTTTCCTATGCCCTGTCCTAGATGGGGTGGGGGGGGGACTGGTTTATATTCTTGGCCTGCCTTCCTCATGGCTCATGATGTTAGTCAAGGTTGGAACTGAGCCACATTGGACATCCTCTCATTTGAGCTGTGGCGTGTAGGCCAACTGTCTGCCTCTTAACTTTGAACGTCAGGCCTCACGTAGCCAGAAGCAGTAGCCCACAGCCCACCAGGGGTTAAGAACAGGCTTCCTCATTGTCCCTATGCCTGCCCAGCACATGCTATTGTATATAGCTACCATTCTGTCTGGTAAAATTGTCCTATCAAAAGCTGAGGTCAAGAGTTTTACTCAATTCTTTTTCTTAAACTTTGTTATATTTATTATTAGTATGTGTGAGGTAGGGGAAACAGGTGTTTCCTCGGGCTTGTGGAGGTCAGAGACAATCCTGTGGAGTTGGTTCTCTCCCTCTGTCTTTATATGGGTGTTGGAGACTGAACTGAAGAAGCCAAGCTTGCATGCTAAAGCTATGGTGAGCCATCTAGAGGTGCCCTTTTCTCTTGGCTCTGCCAACAAATGACTTAATGTCACTACTGTGACTAGAAATTAATTCCTTCCCAGTCTCCAGCTAGAACAACAGCCTGATTCAAATGTGCCTATCAAAGGCCCTGGCTGCCTCTCTTCCGTACCTGTGTGAGCCTCTCACCACCACCTCCAGCTCACATCACTTTTTTTTTTTTTTTTTTTGGCCTGGGAATCAAACATAGCCTCAGCTTGCTGAGTGCTGGGATTACAGGTGTGAGCCACCCCAGGCTTGTGGTCGTTGCTTTTATTATTTATGTATGTATGACTCCTTTCGCTGGAGGTAGGATCTGGGGCTTGAATTTGTCAAAGCTCCTGGCAGATGCCGGAAGCCCATCTTTTTGTAGGGCTGGCCTAGCTCTGGCCTGGTTCGCTCCTCACCTTTGATGTATTCGCAGTTGTATGTACTGCGTTTGCCCAGAGCGCGGAGGTAGATGCGTGCGGGACCCTGGGCGGGTCGGCTGGTATTGATCACCTGGAAAGTTTCGAAAGGGGGGATCAGCACCTCTTCCTCTTCAGGGAAAAAGGAGTAGCCTCTGATGGGGGCCCCGAGGCAGGTCCAGATACCGAAGAAGGTGTCCTCGCCAAATTGTTGGGCGGCAACGTTCTTGAGGGACGCGGAAGCAAAGCCCCCCAGCCTAACGGTGGCGCCAGGTCCTGCTGGCCGGAAGCGCAGGCCATGCACCCCCCTGTACACCTGCCGGCACCCGCGAGATCGGTGGCTCCGGAGCAGTTGCAGGGCCTCGGTGAGCAGGAAGTGGAGGGTCTTGAAGGAGAAGTGGTGGAGGTATTGGGCCCGGGAGCGGCCCGCCTCGCGCACTGCCGCGTTGAACTCCTTGTGCAGGGGGCTGTTGGCGGTGTAGGCCAGCAGCGCTACCCCGTGCTCATCCCGGAAGCCCGGCGGTGGTGAGGGCAAGGAGGCCCACACGGACCCCCAGGCCCTGCGTTCCTGCCACTGGATGTTGGCCAGAGTCCAGCCATCCGCGTATACTTTGTTGGCCTGGAACTCCGAGTGGTTGAGATCTGGCAGTGCCGCTGTCATGTCTGCCAGGCAGCCAGCATACTGGTCATCAAAGGACGCTGGGGCCATGTCCAGGGGTGTTTCTTGAGAAAAGATGTCTAGTTGTGAGATTGAGTGACTTTGAACCTGAGGGTAAGGGAAGATCAAGGACTGAGAGGGCAGTCCCTAGGAAAATGAGAGCCCGGTCATCCAGCTTTCCCCTGCTCTGAGACAGGAGCCTGTCTACAGAGAAAGGCAAGAAGGGTCCCCTATACATCTGGAGGGGAAAGGGGATTGAGAACATCAGCTGCAGGCTCCCCAAGACTAGGGTTTCAGCAGGTCCCTCAGAGAGACAGATGGATCCCCAGGGAAGTGTTGGACATATACTCTGCTCCTCTTCCCGGGATTTAGAAGCCAGCAGCTCAGTGACCTGCCAGGCTGCTGGTGAAGGATGACCATACCTGAACTCCATCCCTGAGACCCACAGACACCAGTAGGAGAGACATCATAGCAGGAATCTTCATGTTGGAGGTAACCTTGGGCAAGCTGCTGTCTCTTTTTCCTCATCTGGAAAATTGGGAAGTTAATCTCTACTCTTTAGTTAACATTATCTGACACTATCTGCCATTTGGACAGAGGGATGGAGGAGCTACAGCCTCTGGTACCCCTGAGGGTAGTCACACTGACCCACAGTGACTCTAAGAATAAGACCCATCCTTGGGTCAGAACTGGAATAGCCATCTCTAGTGCTAAATGATGTCCCTTTTTCTGTCTGTCTGTCTGTCTGTCTACGTTGTTTTTGTTTTAAATAGGATTTTATATATCCATGCTGACCTGAAACTGGCTACTTACTGGGCCAGTCCTTGTCTTTGACCCCACCCTCCACCCCCTTCCACCTCCTAAAGGCAGGCATAATGGATTTGAACTACCTGCTCCTTTTCCTATACAGTAAGACAGATGCATGTTATTACAAAGTAGTGCAAAGTAATGCTGGCTGTAGGAAGGTGGGTGTGGACTGAGCACCCCGATCCAGCCTTACACCCTCCTGCCCGTGGCATGGGATGGCCAGTGACAATGGTGTCTTTCAGTGCCTTTCTCAGAAAATATTGAACAGTATAATTAACTGTTTCTTTGTAGTGTTGAGGGTGAAACCCAGAGCCTGGTGCATTCTTGGTGAGCATTCTATTATTGAGCGCTTTGAACAATGTAGTAAATTTAACACACACACACACACACACACACTGATTCTTTTTTTTCCTCAAAGAAAAAAATGCTTAATATACACATCCTCTAAATATATCCCCTTGAGAAACAATGTATCAGGGGTCTCCTTTCAAGTAGGCCCCCTCACATCTACCTTGCCTGTTACAATGGCCTCATGGTGTGTTTCCTGATATAGTTAAACCATTGAATGGGCACATGGATTTTTTTCATAATGTTTTGAGGCAGGATCTGACCTTGCAGTTCAGGCTAAACTTAACCTTACTCTGCGTCCCAGGCTGGCTGCCTTGAGCTTATTGGTTACAATGGGTGTAACTACAGTTCCAGTGATTTAACAGCTTCCTCCTGCTGCATTGCTGGGATTACAGGTGTGCATCACCCCACAGGGATGAGATTTTTTTTTTATATATAATAATAGGCCCTGCCAAACTATGGTTCAAAAAGGAACCAGTTTGCTCTCTCATCACTATCGAAAGAAAATGCTCCTTGTCCCGCCATTGTCAATGCTAATTCCTGTTTCCCTAGATCATTTTCTTCTGCCTTGCTTGGTTGGTTTGGTTTGATTTTTTTGAGGCAGGGTCTCATGCCACCTAGGCTGGCTTCAAATTTACAGAATGGCTGAGACGACCCTGAAATCTGATTCTCCTGCCTCTACCTCCCGAGTGTGGAGATCACAGGTGCACCCCGTGCCTAGCCTACTGATCTTTCTAACTTTCATGTAAGTGATCTGGAAATAGATGTAAGCTGCTATTGCCATCACCACTCTGAAAGTTTTCTTTTGCACTTTATTGTCATCTATCCTGTGCTTCTGCCAGTACCTGGCACAGAGGCTCAGGAGACTGAAATGGATGTGATTCAGAGAAAGGGTAGACATGGCAGTTCAGACCTGTGGTCTAAGGCCGAGGTAGGAGGATGGTAGGCCAAAGGCCATCCTGGGACATCATGAGACCCTATCTCAAAAACCAAAATAAGCAATTTGCATCAGGCAGAGGTGAGATTTCCGAGGGAGGATGGGCTGGAGAAACCAAGAGAAACTGGGGGGTGAGCCTAAGCTTACAAAACAGGCTCCCCGGGAGTTCATGAGGTTCTTTGCTTCCAGCCTTTGGGTTCAGTGAGAAACCCTGGAATCCTTTTGTATTAGCTTTTAGGCTTAACCCAGCTTAGCCTAGCTCCAGTGAGCATGCCAGCAGAGGATGTTCATGTGGTGGTACTCTAGTCCCTCAGGATGGTCACGTGGGTATCCATCCACTCAATCACTCATCACTCATGACTGCAGTTGCCAGCTCACGTTGGATCCAAGCTGCTTCCTGGAGTCTCCTTCCCTTATTTGTCCAGGCCCACATCCGTGCCCTGCTTATTTTTGTCTGTCTCCTCCTTAGACGATCTGCCTGACTCTTCTCAGCCCTGCTAGAACATTCACCATGGTGTGGGGAGAGCAATGCCTCTGAAGCACAGCCCTGGTTACCATGCTTACCTGCTTAAAACCTTCTGTATGTGGGTGGAGGGGGCTTAGCGGTTAAAAGGATAGACTGCTCTTGTAGAAGGCATGAGTTCAGTTTCCAGCACCCACACCAGGTGCCTCATGACTGCCTGGAACTCTGGCCGTAGGACGACTGATGATTCTGGCCTTGGTGAATCGTGCCTTCAGGTGCACTTAACCACATACAGTCACGCAGATATACACATGATTAAAAATAGAATCTTAAAGAAATTTCTGTGCCAAAACTGACTGAAAAATAGCTCAAAATACTGAGAAAAATGCAGAAATGAGAATTATGAGAGAAAAGATGATAGTATATCATAAAAGGCGCTGTGGCTGGTGGGAGAGAGATGGCTCAGAGGTTCAAGACATTGTTCTTGCAGAGATCCCAGGTTCAGGTCCCAGCACCACAGGGTCACAAAGACCCTTATCTCCTCTTCCAGGTGATCTAAGGCCCTCTTTGGTCTCCAAGGACTCCTGCACACATGCACTGTACGTAAACTCACATTCTCTCTCTCTCTCTCTCACACACACACACACACACACACACATTATCATTTTTAAATCTATAAATAAATAAATAAATAAATAAATAAATAAATAAATGCCTCTAAAGTGCCTCATACCTTTATGGCCAAAGCTCAGAGGCAGAGACAGGAGGATCTCTGTAAGTTCAAGGCCAGCCTGGTCTACAGAAAGAGTTCTAGGACAGCCAGAGTTACATAGAGAAACTCTTTTTCCAAAAAACAACAAAAACAAAAAACAAACAAACAAAAACAAAAAGCAGAAAGGGCTTGCCTATCTATCCTACATTTTTTTTTTTTTTTTTTTTTTTTTTTTTTTTTTTTTTTGGTTTTTTTTTTTTTGGTTTTTTGAGACAGGGTTTCTCTGTGTAGCCCTGGCTGTCCTGGAACTCACTCTGTAGACCAGGCTGGCCTCGAACTCAGAAATCCGCCTGCCTCTGCCTCCCAAGTGCTGGGATTAAAGGCGTGTACCACCACTGCCCAGCATGGGCTTGATTCCTAATACCGCCTAGAAGTCACTCGTGGTAGCACACGCCTGAGATCCCAGGATTCACGAGGGACAGAGGATCAGTGAGTTCCAGGCCTGTCCCCCAGACCCTGTTTCAAAGCAAAGGAGCAAAATGAAGTAAAACATCCCCCTGTGCTTCAGAGGCCGTTTTTTTTTGTTGTTGTTGTTGTTTTTGTTTTTTGTTTGTTTTGTTTTTTGTTTTGTTCCAGAGAGGATCTACTGTTTCCCTGCCCTTAGCTATCCTTCTGGCTTCCCACTTGTCCAAGCTTAGCTCAGTGCTCACCTGTTTCAGAAAGACCCCAGAGCCCTTTGGGCTCTACATCACTCTGTGCTGATTCTCCTGAGCATCCCTCCCCCCAAACCCTGGCCTGTGTAGGAACCAGCAATAACCCCCGGGGTTGGGGCAGGACTAGGCAAAGTCACCAGAGTGCTTGTTGAGTCTTGTTAAGAAAGTAAAATCTACATAAACACCCCAGCTTCACGTGGACCTGCAGATACCCAGTAGGTGACTGGGTGGGGATGGAAAGACTGGCACCCATGTATTCCCTTTTGGGTCAGGTTCTGTCACCCTGAAGGCAGATATGTCAATCACCTCCTCAGCCAGGGCTTCTGCCCTCCACTGTCAGAGGTTTTAGAGCAGCATAAGCACTGTAAGCAGCATGGCCCCGGGTCCCACAGCTTCAGCTACTGAGCCCTCCGTGTCCTTCAGGCAAGATGGTGACCCCAGTCAGTAATCTTGGAAAATCAGTGGAAGCCTGCCTCTTCCCTTGTCCAGACAGTGCACCCTGTCTGTCAGTGCTGGCTGCCTTCCATTAGAGAACTGAAGCCTCACTAAAGCCTGCTTGTGTCCACATAGCCTCATTTCTACAGTCAGATCCGCCTTATTTTTATTTTGTCTGTGCTGGAAGAACCCCCCAAGTCTCTGGTAAGCAAGACTAAGAGGCGTTCTGCACATTGCCAATAAGACAGCACCTCAGAGTAAGTAGATTGCTTTCCTTAGTGACCAGGGTCAGGGAAACACAGCAAGGATTGATCTGGAACACTGGGAATTCCCCCTCCCTATTTCATTTTTATTTTTATTTTATTTTATTTTATTTTATTTTATTTTATTTTATTGAGACAGAGTCTTGTTAGGTATCCTAGGCTGGCCTCTAATTCAGTCTCTGGCACAAGAGAGCTGAATCCAGCTTAAAAATCCCTCTTCACAGGCAAGGAAACTGCATTTTCCCATCCTCTGACCCACAGCCCTTAGTTTTCCTCTCTCTCAGGCCCACACTCAACAGTTCCTTCTGGGAATATGACCCCAAGTCTCTTCTCAAAAATCCCAAACTTTCCCACATCCACAAACTTTCCTAGGATCCAAGGATCCCTAAAACTTTATTAATACCATAGATTTTATATCAAAAAGTTCCTTCCCTATTCCCTACGTGAGGAAGTGAAGTAGCCTTCTGGCCTTACCTAGCCTTCTCCATGGTGGGCAAGGCTGATCTGGTCTCCTGTGATAGACAGGCAGGGAGGGCAGCTTTCCCTTTTATACTGTCTATTCCCTACCCCTCCTGCTTTCCCACACAGCTGCTCAGAAATGTGACACTCGTCTGTCTATTTCAAGCTGTCTCCTTGTCAAGGCTCAGAACACTAGCCTCACCCCAGTGTGACCTGGGCCAGTGTTCTTCCCAAAACAATACGCGCTGCCGAATACAGAGGTGTTGAGAGTGATATTGGGGGTGTTGAGGGGACAGGACTACAGCCCTCTCACCAGGCTTGGCTCTGGACTCTGGTCACCTCATTTCATGCACCCCAACTCCACACATCTCTCCTTTCATTTTGTTCTGTTGTGGTGGTGGTTGTTATTGTTGTTGTTGTCTTATTACTTTCTTTCACAAAGTCCAGGCTGACCTTGAACTTGAAGCAATCCTTTTGTCTCGGCTTCCCTCCTGATTGTTGGGATTATAGGCATATACCATCTTGTCAAGCTTTGTTCCTCTCTAAAGAACCTAGCTTCCTGCTGGATCTCTGACTCACTGTGTGACCCGGGAGGACTCTGTCCCTCTCAGGATCCCTGACCCGTGACCAGATTTGACTCCACTTCTTGGGGTTCCAGGTGCTAGGATGTAAGAAAATCTCCAAGCCGGAGGCTGTCCCCACCCAGCATCTGCTCTCCTGGAAACTATAAGTACTTGAATTCCTCCCAGAGAGAGAGAATGGGGCCAGCAGGGAGGGAAGGGATTACTGCTGGACATAGTTTGTTTTCTTCTTTAGCTTTCAGGAAGGATTGCAGGAGAAAAAAGGATTTTAGGTGAAGGAAACTTTATTTGGCTGACAATATGGTAAGGGGATGGTGATGGGTAAATTCATGAGCTGGACTACCCTATGCTTACGCTGGCCCAACAGGAGGCTTCTCTAACCCTTGATGTTGAGAGCATCCCTCCTTCACCTTCCCATAAGCTGGTTCCTTCTCCTGTTACATCCAACTGGGCATCTGAAACTCAGAACTAGGTTATTTATAGTCAAGCCCAATGGAGGTGTGAGAGAAAGCTGTGTTTACAAACATGGGGTCACCTGAGCCGGTCCAGAAAGGGAAGGTGTGAGGGGCTGGGGGTGGGGCCGTTCCTGAACACCTAAGCACAGAAAGTCAAGCAGTCCCTTCCATCCCAAGCTTACAGACTAGGGTAGGGACTCAGAGGGTTAAGAGTAGGGAAGGAAGTGGGGGGTGAGGGTGGAAGTTTGCTGCTGGTGCACACAACGTGTGTGTCAGATTCAAATTGTATGCAAATAAGACTGATTTGGTGACTTAACTAGTGTGATATACAAGAAGCGTCCCTCGCGGGGCTTCGTGGCCTGGTGGTCTGAGGGCCCTGGCCCAGTCTGGTACCACAGTCTAGTACCACTGGAGAAGAGGCCAAGTCTCACAAGTCCCTCCCCCAACCTTGACCTAGCTCAAATCTTACAGAAAGAACCGATCATCCAAACAAGGAGAGTCTCGCCCCTCAACCACCCAAGGACTCTGGCAGTCCAGCTCCCACGCCCCTGTCTGTTGTTGGGGAAGATAGGTGTCAGATTACCAGTCCAGGGGCTATAGTTAGCCCCAGGGACTTTGTTCAGCTGTCTGTCCGGGATCTGCACAGCGCCTGCCAGCACTTCAACTCCCTTCAGCTCCGGTCTGCCGCAAAGGACCATAGCCCCAGGCCACTCTCTGCCTCTACCTCCTCCAGGTGGGTTCTCATCCCTGCCCCACCCCTCTTCAGGCAAAGCCATATAAATGCCTCACCTGTACCATTGCAAAGAAGTCCTAAAGACCCTGGGTGTGGGGCCACCTTGTAGTCATAGACATGGGGACAGTAAAATCGGACGCTCTGCCCATCCTTAGACTTGCCCGAGGCCCCGCCCCTCATCCTTTCTGAGTTCCAGTCCTTCACTAGGACCCTCTCAGGCTGAAGAAGGAAGGTCCTGGAGCCCAGCCAAACCAGCACCCCCTCCACTGGCTTCATCATCATCATCAGGATCCTGCCTTCTCGGGACTCCTCCGAGGATGATTCTGGAGGATCTGCTAATGGTCCTCAGCTGCCTCGGCTTGCACACCCTCTGGAAGGTAACTCTAGGGACTATCCTTTGCCAAAAAAGTCAGGTGTGGGTCAGAGGCTAACAAATGGTGGTGGTGGAGGAATGATAAAGGAGACCACCCCCAGGAGTCTCTTCCCTCCTCCCAGTCCTCTTCTCGGGAACTTCTATTCTGTTAGGGAGCCCAGGTGCCAGATGTCTCTCCCAGAATGCCACCTTCCTGGACTCCTGGATCCCAGTGTGAAATCTCCTTCCATGCTACCCCTCAATAGGGATTGCCTCCAACTTTCTCCTTCCCACTTCACACCACAGGTTCAATGCAGGCACACCGGTGTGCTGTTATAGGCCCTGGCAGACCCTGAAAACCAGACTTCACCCTCTCCCCTCCCCCTCACACTCTGGGACTATGATTGTGCAGAGGACAATGAAACTTCTTCCCCTCCGTGAGTTTAGGATAAAATCTTCTAAAGTAGCTAGGATGCAGGAACCCCAGAACTGACAGTGATGTGTACTGAGCTATAGGGCTTCCCCAAGGATGGGAAATAGCTGAGAGGGATGGGGACCAAGGCAAGGATCAGACACTGGCTGCACATTGCCTGCATACTGAATAGCAGAGCCAGGAAAACACAGAACCAACCAGACTCTCCTCTCACTCAAATGATGAGATACCCCCCTCTAGGTTGTGCCACAGTGGTCCTTATGCTCCCCTCACAACCCTGTGAGGTTGGAAGTATCCATAATCCATAGGTAAAGAAGGTGAAGTCCAGAAAGCCCTGACCTGAGAATTGCTCAGATCCCACAGAGAGCAGGTGGTGCTTAAACAAACTATGGCTGTCTGACGCTACTGCCTGTGTTCTTTGTGCCTGTTTCCAATCTTGCCAATTGCACGCATCAGATATGTGGGCATAGAAATGAAAATCTGCCACCAGCACTCCCTGCCCAGTGTTCTAAACTTATATTTTGGCCTCTGTGCCACCTCCCTTATGTCCATTAGGTCCAAGCTGTTCCTATCCTGCCCCTGAGCCTGGTTCCAGATACCTTTGATGATGCCTATGTGGGCTGCTCTGAGGAGATGGAAGAGAAAGCAGGCCTGCTGCTAAAGGAAGAGATGGCGCACCATTCCCTGCTACGGGAATCCTGGGAAGCAGCACAAGTGGCCTGGGCACACTGGCGTCACAAGCTTACTCTACCTCCTGGCTTCAAAGCCCATCACGGAGTAGCTATTATGGTGTACACTAACTCATCCAACACCTTGTACTGGGAGCTGAACCAGGCTGTGCGGACAGGAGGTGGCTCCCGGGAGCTCTACATGAGGCACTTCCCCTTCAAGGCCCTACATTTCTACTTGACCCGGGCCCTGCAGCTGCTGCGGGGCACTGGAGGGTGCAGTAGGGAAGCTGGGGAGGTGGTGTTTCGAGGTGTGGGCAGCCTTCACTTTGAGCCCCAGAGGCTTGGGGACTCTGTCCGATTAGGACAGTTCGCCTCCAGCTCTGTGGATGAAAGAGTGGCTCGCAGGTTTGGTAATGCCACCTTCTTCAACCTAAGGACTTGTTTTGGGGCTTCTATCCAGGCTTTGTCTGTCTTCCCTGAGGAACGTGAGGTGCTGATACCCCCACATGAAGTCTTCTTGGTCACTGGGTTCTCCCAGGATGGAGCCCAGAGCATAGTGACTCTCTGGAGTTATAATCAGACCTGCAGCCACTTTAACTGCGCCTATTTGGGTGGTGAGCGATGCATGGGAGACAGAGAAGGGCAGGGTGGGTGAAAGACGCCAGTGTATCTGACCCAGTCCCCAGAGCCTTCAGGAACCACTTGGTTAGTGAGATTGAGGTTCCACCAGGTCCTGTGAGAGTTCAAGATCTGTGGACATTCTCAGATGACTGTCTTCTCAGAAGGGTACCTAATAGACCAAGGAACAGAGAGGAGGCAATACTGCCTCCTGCTCAGTCAGCTCTGGCTTGATGGGGCTAACAAGGTAGGAAAGTGCCAGGTTCAGTTGTGGAGGCAGGGACAGTGGAAGAGTGATGGCTGTGTGGGTAGGAGCAAGGATGGAGAGGCAACCTGGAAACGTTGCCTGGGGAGAAGCTGAAGGGGAGCGAGGGCCTGCTTTGAGGAGAAGGAAAAGACAGACTGAAAATGGGATGGCCATAGGCAAGACATTTGGGGTGCGAATCACCCCAGGGCCTCACTATGCTGTCTGTTGCAGGGGAGAAGAGGCGTGCCTGTGTGTCCTCAAGAGGTAAGTCACCCTTCAGCCTGCTCTGAGAGCTGTTCGCTACCCCCTGGCCCTGCTGCCCGCCTCACCATCTTTTCTCCTTTCTCCAGCAGTAGGGTGGCCAGAGTCCTACCCCACAGAGGCTTTGGCTCTGCAATCAGGGAAGACGCTGCTCTTGGCCCCAGGGGAGTTGCAGCTCTCCAGAGCTGGACCCTAAAAGCCTCTTAGGAATCTTGGGAACTGATGACCTTACTATGAAGAAGGGGCTTTGAAAGGCCTCAGGATGTGGGAGTGTGGTTCTTGTTCCAGTCCTAGGGGCCGCCTCTCCAACCAGAGTTGGAGACCTGGCATCATGGCAGGGTTGAGGGAACCCCACTGTGTAGTGGGGACTTCCTAGGACATACAAGGTAAAGACTAGATGGCTATTCAATTAAACAGAGTTGTGGTGTAGAGACATGGGCTTTTATGACTGGTTTATTGCATGATGTCATTCGTCCTTGGCAGGCTTGAAAGGAGGGATCAAAACTAGCTTCCTGACTATCCTAGCCACACACTGTACCTGATGCTTGTTAACAGCTGCAGGAGCCTCACAGCTGCCATGAACGCAGGGCGCAGGGAGGGGAAAGAGGAATACCCAGCCCTGATGAGAATGCAAGGCCAAGAAAGGGCACCACCTCCAGGGCACTCACTCTCAGGCCTGCCTCATGCTTCCCTGG